CAGGCACAGCACCGTGCTGGATCCACCCTCCCAGGCCCCGGCCACCCTTGTGCCCAGAATCCGATACCGTAGGAAAACCCTGCCGAGGAGACCCCCCCAACATCGTCCACGACCCGGCTGCCCGACGCGCTGCTCACCCGTGGAGGCCCCGAGCGCGAGGGCCTTTGCAATGTGCCCGACTGTCTGGATCCCTCCATCCGCAATCACGGGGACGCCAAATCTCCGGGCATATTCGGACACCTTGTACACCGCCGTGGCCTGGGGACGGCCGCATGCCAGCACTGCAGGCGGGGAGAGAGCAGAGAAAGGGTCAGCTCCCGCGCAGCAGCGCATCCCCTCCCCAGCAGGCCCTTTAGGCTTCCAGCACACACATGCTCCAGCACTCGGGAATGCACAAATCCCTGGATGCTCCTTCCCTAGGCTGAGTTGAAAGAGAAGTGGATGCCCAGGAGATGCCTGCTGGGACATCATCATGGCCCTCGACTCCAAAAAAGCTGTGGATGACCTGGGGACTGGGGTCTTCGACCCAATGCCTGGGATCAGCCGAGGTCTGCAGCTCGTCCTGGTGCCCAGCAGATGCGTGGGAAGCTTGGGAGGGAAGCGGAGCAGACTCCAAAAGCCCCTCCCCAAAGCATCCCTGGCATGTAGCCACATCCCACCACTCGCTCCCTCCTGGCAGTGCCAGACCCCTTCGTGTACCCAGCGGCTGTATGATGTGCTTCGTGCATGGAAAGGCAGCTGGCTGGGAGAGAGCTGATTTGTATATATACATAGATATAAATTTTATATATACATCTGCACACACACACACAAACACACATGCAGCAGTAGAAAAGGAAACGGGCAGGATGATTTGATTGCTTACGGGAAATGATTTATGTTCCTGCCCGGCAACATAGCAAGGATTGTGTTGAGTTTAGCTGCCCCATGGGAAGGGAGGTGTTAGCTGTGGATTCACCTGCTCTTCCCAGTCGCTACCAGTTAGAGGCTTCCCATTGTGCGAGGGGAAAACCAGCACAGGGCACATCTGGTAAGACATCTGTCAGCCCCAGGCACAGACACTGAGATCAGCTGCTCTCAGGGCGACTTCCCTTCCCCACAATTAACGGGAAGCCTCTTCTCCAGTCCCAGTTAGTCCAATACATGGGGTAAGATTATGGCCATGCAGGATTAGTACGTGGGAGCGTGAACCCAAGTGTGGTGTAGCCTGCCCGGCAGCGTCCCTGGCAGCGGCACTGGCAGCACACATCCCTGGCAGAGGTTTGCCGAGCCCGGGAGTCTGCAATCGCTCTGCTCCCAGTGCTCAGCAGCAGCTGCTGAGAGAGGGAAGCCCAACTCCAGGCTGAGATTGTCAAAGAACTGATTTTAATCAGACAAAACTCGGCGTTAAGCTAGGGCTCAGTCAGCCAGGGAGAGGCTGCCAGCTATACGTGAATGCCATTAGTCTTAAAGAGATGGTCTCGCTCGGTACTGCGCTGCTAAAGGCCACATCGCGGCCACAAAACACTGCAGGGACTAGCCCTGTGGAGAGAGGCACCTGATTTTGGAGGGTCTAGAGGCCGGTGTCTACAGGATTGTGCTGCAGACAGTGCCCACAGAAACCTCCCAACAGGGACCACGGAGACCAGCCCTTTAAGGAACAGCTTGGCTCAGGGCCCCTGGGAGCATCGCGCCGTTCCGACTGTCCCAGCGCCCAGCGCCACAGCTTCAGAGCGCAGGCTTCCAAAGCAGGGTTCAGAGCACGCACACGCCGAGTGGTCGGGGTGACGGTTTGTCTGTTTTAGTGTATCTGCAAAGGGTGGCCCTACGAGACCATCTGCTAGAGAAAAACCTCTAAAAATGTCAAAACAAGGAGAAAGGGCAAAGCCAAGGCTCGCCTCGGGGGGCTGCTCCGTCTGTAGCATCAGAGAAGCACAGCACAGACACCGCTGCAGCCTGTGCTGGGCAGGAAAGAGCCCTTTCTCTGCACAGGAGGATCAAGATGCGGGTGCCAAGGTGGCTGTATGGGGGTATGTCCCTCTGGGACCCCAGGGGAGCCAGCTCCGAGGGAAGCGTTGCCAGTGCACAACTTCCCCACAACTGGGGCCAGATTTAGAGCAGGATGGAGGATTTAGAGCAGGATGGAGGATCCCGCTCAGGGATCACCCTCCAGCACTGGATCAGCGGGTCCATGCCCAGCTGGAGATCCAGAAGGTGCAGCCACAAAGCCCGGTCAGGCTCCTGTATTTTGGACCGGAGCTTGGACAGGCCTGAGTGCCCTCAGCTTTGACAGTTCAGACCCTGCTTTAGGAATTCAGAAAGGCTTCTCAGCTTCCATTTCAGATTCAAAACCAGTATCCAAAGCCACAAAACCCCAAGTGCATCTACAGCTAAATTATTCTCAAACAAGCAGTAGGGCCATGTGCAGCCAGATCAGGGTCCTGCTTCAAGACACATCATTAGGGTTGGGAACAGGGCAAGTGACTTACTATAGGTGCCCGTGACAGTAGAAGGGCATTTGGGGCTGTGGGACTTTAGGTCTGGAGGGATCTTTGGAGCAGCTAAACAAAAACAAACACACACATTTTAGAGACAGAAGAACAGCAGCAGAACAAAGGACCCCAGCAGTGACCTGCTACTAGGCAGAGCGTACAGTGTGGGACAGAGCTGACCTTGCAAACCCTTCCTAGCCCCAGCCAAGCCAGCGGCCAGGTCCAAGCCAGGCCCTGCGGTGCACAGCACATGCTCGCCCTGCCCCAGCAGCCATCCAGAGAGGTGAGCCCCTAACCCAAAGAACCAGAGTTCTTGCCCTAAGAGGGCCAAAAACCTGGGGAGCTTCAGTAAAGAGCTTTGCAATCATGTCTCCTGTGAAGCACCATGATCCACCTCACATTCCTTCCCCAAAGCCAGCACCCAACCCCACCTCTGGGGATGTTCACCACGCTGCAGAACAGAGCGTGGCTCAGCGGGTCCGCTGCCTCGGAGCCAGAGGAGGACACATGCGTCCTGGTTCTGCTCTGGCTACAGAAGCGTCAGCCCAAGGACACCACAGCCTCCCTAGAAAGCTCATCTGAGACACACTGCCCTGACCAGGAACCCCCCCGCAGCCAGCGCTCCCCTGGCAGGCAAAGCAGTCGAGCTCCAGGGCTGCCTGAAGGCTCCACACTGGATCTGGCCAAGCTAATGCAGCACCTTCAGCATCAGCTACCCTCCTGCTGCCTCCCATGGCAAGAACCAAGGAGCAAAGCAGAGAAGAGCTGTGTTCATGAGCGGCACCTCGCACCATCCCTCTGCATCTCGCCTGACGGGTTCAAAACACAAGGACTGAGCCTGGCCTCCCAGCAGCCGTTCTCCAGGCCCTGGGGACACCCCTGTCCACCTTTTAGCTAAGGGTGACATGGCCTATGCCCCACACAAGCTCTGGCTAACTGTAGGGACAACTGCCAGAAATTCCACTTCTGGGAATTGCAAAGGCATCAAGCCCAGCAGACCAATTCTCAAGTATCACGCACGCTGCTGCCAGAGGGGAGGGGAGCGCAGACAGCCTGGTGCACTTCACCCCTCAGCCCTGGGGATCCCGTGAGCCCCTCTCCCTGCAGAGCTGCCCGCCAGCCCCGTCCCACACCGAGCCAGCGGCTCCTCTTGGCAAAGCCACATGTGCCGCTCCTGCTCTACTGAGTCTTGGTCAGTACTGGGAAATGCCTTTGCTGCTGCTGCCACCCCAAAGGTTTGACCCAGGGGATGAGAACGTCCTGGACGAAGGGGGTGAAAGACGGCTCGCTGTTGGACACTGCCCTTGCTTTTCAGCAGGGAATCTCTACTGAACAGATGCCTCCAGCCTGTTTAGGAGATGGTTGATCTCTCTCACCTTCCTGCGTGATGCAGATGGAGCCACTGCCCATCCCGACTCTCAGGGCATCGACTCCTGCGTCAATGAGGTTCTTGGCCTGAGCAGCGGTCACAACTGTGGGGAGCAGAAACGGTTTTGAAGAGAGACAAGCAGATTTGTGCGCGACATCGTTCTGCCCCACGGCTGCAAACACCCCCGACCCAGGGCACCAGCCGTACGGCCGTGTCCGAGCCAGGCCTGTCTGTCCCCTGCCACCAGGCCTGTTCCTGTCCCTGCTGTCCCCAGCACACAGGTGACACTGGTCCTTTAGGCTACTCTGCAACACGCTGACACCCAAAGGCTGCGGTAGCAGAGGTCACCCCATGGTGCCAAACCCTCTTGGGGCCACACCAGGGAGGGCAGGCAGCACAGGCTAACAGCAGCACCAGTAACACCCCAGCCAGGGAAAGACACGGACTGCTGAACTCTGCTGCCAAGAGGCTGGGAAATTTCCATTAGGTTTCCACATTCAGCAATATTCGTTGTTATTATCATCATCATCATAATCTAAGATTATAAACTGGTGTGTAAAGAGGCTAACATGTAATGGGCTACAGAGGACTGTAGCACACTGTGCTGCAGAACAAAGGTTTAAAATCACCTGCAGCTGTGGCAGCGGCAGGATGCTGCCCTGTGTCTGCAGAGTGGTCTTGCTCTGTTCCACAAGCCAGATGAAACCATTTTAAGTTCACAGACATTTACCAAGACGATAATTTCATCCAGGTCCCTGCAGCTCCTTCTATGTCTAAGCTCAAACATACTTTCAAGCCAAGAATAGTCTTCAACACATGCCTACCGTTTCCTCCAATAACTTGTAGGTTGGGATATTTCTCCTTAATATATTTTATCATATTGATCTGGAAGATGGAGTTCCCCTGAGAGGAATCCTGCAACAGAAAGAAAACTATTTTCAACCACAATTTCTACAAAAGATTATAAATACAGCTCTGGAAGAGCCACAGATCTTCACTCTGCTTCCTGGGGTCTCTGCTAGGCTGCCTAAGTGGGCAGAACGAGACCCCAAATCGAGCACAGAACCAGGAGACGCTGCTGCCAAGACAGTGACATCCCTTCCCTATACAAGGCAGTTTATCGTAAAGACTTCAGTAATATCCTTCACGTTTAAATCCCGTGGCTTCTACAGCAGGCAACAAGCAGCACATCCAGCCACGGGTCAGAACCGTCTGGCTCTGCCACCAGGACACTGCCAGCCCTGTCCCAAACCACAGGTGAAAGGGAAAATGAACGTTCCTTGTGACCCCCGAAGGGCTGGCGGGGGGTGCGGCTCTCCCTGCTGCAGGGAGGGCAGCTGCAACACCCGATGCTTACCCCCTAGGGCTCAGGCCTGCCCAGCTCATGGTGTCTGTTCAACATCCCCAGCTGCAACGCTGCCCGGCCATGCCCTCGGAGCACGGCGGACGCGCATGCTAACAATCGATGAGAAAATGATGTGCAAATACAGGTGTGACCAAAAGCCTACGGCCAAGGGGAGAAGAGCAGAGCAGCTCTGGGCTGAGCGCCCTGAACACCCGGCGGTTAGGAGAATAACAGGAACAAACACCAAACAGTGGAAGGGAAACTGTAAGAAGCCATATATCCAAAAAACCTAGTTAGGAACGTCAGAGAGGATGGCAGCAGACTGCAAGAAGCATTTGCAGAAGACCCTGCACTAACTGACAGTGTTTCTCTTCTCAGCCTTCAGGGCTTCGATGTACCCTACATACGCCCTTGAGGCCAAAAAAGTTCCCAGGCAAGAGGAATCCCTCTTATCTGAGGACTCCAACCTGAATGAGACTGAGAGGTCAACAAACTGCCATATTCTAACACAAAAGGACCTGTACTGGAGACAGTAAGTGTCACGTTGCTGCCCCACTGTCAGGGAGATTTGTTCAAACGGGATCCTCAGCCCCCCCACACCAGCTCACCAGCACGACCACATCCACGCCAGCCTGCACCAGGAGGTCCAGCCGGTACTTGTCATCTTCGTGGGTGCCAATAGCAGCACCACAGAGCAGCTGCTTCTTGGAATCCTTAGAAGCCAGAGGATAGTCCCTGTTCTTCTTGAGATCCGTGCGGGCAATTATAGCCACCAGCTCATCATCTTCATTAACGATTGGCAGCTTGCCTTGAAACAAAGAGAAAGAACATCACTGCAGAGTTCTGCCAGAGACCGGCGCTAGGCTGGAGCCGTGCGGCAGAGCAGGGAATCGGGCAGGCAGCACATGGTACCGGGTGGGGACTCAAAGGTGTGTTACCAAACCTTGCTGGGCCACGGAAGCCAGCAGCTGCCTCCAGAAACACAGCAAGGGGTTTGCAAGACTGGAGGAGGACTCTGTATCCTCGCACTGACCATAGAAAAAGTGCATCTTTTTTAATATCACAGAATCACAGAATGTTAGAGATTGGAAGGGACCTTGAAAGATCTAGTCCAATCCCCCTGCCGGAGCAGGACACCTAGATCAGATCACACAGGACACTGTGTTAAAAGTCAAACTACCAAACCCTAACAGAGCTGAACTGCCAAAATGGGAAGGCCAGGACAGAAAACTGAAGACGTGTGGCTGGACAGCCAGGCGCTCGTCAGCTCCTGGGCTGCCAAGAATCCCTCAACCCCAAACAGATTTGAGATGAACGCTTGTGAACTCTGTACCCTGGCAGAGAGCTGCAGGCACCCTCTCCTCGCTGTGCTCTCCTCCTGCTGGATCGCAGCCCTCCCACGTTCCACCCACGCCCAGACGCGTGCCCGCACCCACCCACTCCTGCTCCCAGCCCAGCGCTCCCGTGACTTTCCCTCGTGTCGCAGACGTTCGTAGGTACCTTTTTTACTCCTTTGCAGAATTTCATTCGCTTCTTTTAACATGACGCCAGCCGGGGCCACAACAAGATCCTCTCGCTTTGTCATAATCTAGTGGGAGGATGTGAGATAAAAAGTCACAAGAACTCCTTCGCGCTGATCCGAAAATACCGAACCCCTCTGCCCACGTGAAATGCTCCGCAGCAGCCATGTGGGAGTGCTCCACAGCACAGCAACGCGCCTCCAGAAACGCACAGGAACAGCCTCCAGTGTGCCGTCCCCATGCAAGCACTGGCCACCAGCCCCTGAGCCCATGGGTGCAGGGAAAACAGGAGAGGGCAGCGGGCCTCCACAAGCCGAGGGAGAGCACCGAGAAGCAAGGGACGACTCTCAGATGACCCTTGTTTGGGATGTCACCCAAACAGCCCCCCCTTTTAATAGAGCACAGGCAAGTAAGGGCTGGAGACACCTCCAGAGTCCCATGCTGTTCTGTCAGAAACGCTCCCCCCACGCTCGTTTTCGGGCAGCGATCCCCAGCGCACAGGCTCTGGAAGGGCTCTGCCCAGAATAACCCGCTGCTGCTGCTGCTGCCAAGGTCAACGAGGCAGAGGAGTCACCTCAATCCAAACAAACACCTCACCCACGCTCGCTTTGACAAACAACCACCAAAACCAGCGGAAGGGCAACGGGCACGAGCTGGAGCATGAGAACATCTGAGGTGGAATACAGGAAAGCTTTCCCCACAACAGCGGTCAAACACCGAAGAGCAGCCCAGGGAGACAGTGACATTGCCATCCTTGGAGACACAGCCCCACACAGCCTGCTCCAGCTGAACGTGCCTCGAGCAGAAGGCTTGACAAGGGACCTGGAGGTCCCTCCCCACCCGCAGTGTTCTGCGATCACAAAGTCCACGTGGGATGTTTCATCAAAGGTTACTCGAGAGGGCCAGGCACAGCTCTAGGGAACACTCCCTAACCCTCGAGGAACACAACAAAAGAGGGAATGTTTCAGTTAGTTGCAGAATCATAGAATCCCAGAATGGTTTGGGTTGGAAGGGACCTTAGAGATCATCAGTTCCACCCC